CAGAGTCAGCCCATCTCTGACGATAAAAGCACTTTTGTCCATGATCAGTCACTGAAGGTGAATTCTCTACGATAAAGAAGAGTTGGTTTCTAATGGCCAAGAAGTTATCACTAAGATGTTCTTTTTTTCCCAAATAAGATTCCCAAGACATAATTAGAAATATTTATGCCTGGGAATAAAACTAGCAAAAATGGCTGTGTACTCCATTCACATAAAGGTACGCTGCTCTGTTATTTTATCCTCTTCCTTTCCCACCACAATAGTGTGCCTTCTCAATGCACACACATGGACCTACCTACCTGCTGGGCCAGTGGAACTGGGGAGCATAGGTGGACTAATAGAACATGCTTGTTTGTACTAATCCCAATTATGGTGGGTGGTGGAGCTGGGACACTCCTGTGGATGTGACATAGTTTGGGGCTGGAAGTTGTGGTTCAGTCTTCTGGAAACCAGTGTAAACTTACCTGATTGGCTTATCCCGCCCCCTCCATTGTCAGGCATGGCACTTTCTTCCTGCGTCTCACAATGTCAAAACCATCCCTATCTGCTCTGTGTTTTTGCCATCTCGTTAATGTTCACACCCTGTCATCTCTTCTCCAGGACATCCTTTTCTTGTCTTTTCATTTTTTTAAGGTGTGGCTTGTGATCAGTCTGGCCTGTGAAGATTTCCTAGCCTTGAACAGTCGAAGAATTTCTTCCTTTTCCCAGAACAGTGTGGTACTTAGGTGGCCATAGCTCAGAATGTATTTCAAGCACACTGAAAAACTTTCCCTATGTGGTAACGGCTCAGACCACATTTCGTTATCTGAATTCTCCACAGCAAATGTTTGTCTGAATAATTGATCTACTAACTGAGGATGGAATCTAATATTTATCATTTTATCCAGGTTTAATGTTCTGAAACTACTGATTTTACTGGAAAGTTTGTAACTAGCTTTTCAAAAATGCATTTCTCTATCTTGTTTTGAAGTCTGCCAATTTATTTTTATAACTCATTACTTATTTTCACACTTGGCATTAAAATTCTAGATTTAGTAGAGAAAAATTGATTTTTAAAGTATGTCTATAGTTTGAGTTTTATGCTTTAGTATAACAGTTTATATTATATAACAAATATTATTTAAGTGGGCTGATTAATATAAGGCTAATTCAATATTCACATAGAATATTATGCTCTGGCAGAAAAGTACTTGGATAGTCTGTAATAGACTATGGTCCTAAAAGTGTCATCTCTGCCTGAAGTCAGCATTTTGAAATATCTACAATTGTGGCTTCTGCAAGGATTTTCCAGAGGCATACTCACAGATTTGCATATAATTTGTATGTTTTTAGTGACATTGAACTCCAGCCTTAGGTATTGTCCTCATTAAAGTTTTGTCAATGTTCTTCCCAAGGTCATTTTTGGGTTTCTTTTTTTCTTTTTCAAGTCGGTTCAAAAAAATTGGTCTAAATGCACTAAGCAGTGATTCTCAAGTTTGCTAAACTATCTACACCACTTGAGACACTAGTAGCAGTGGTTAATACCACATTGAGAGGAGAGGAAGACAGAGAGGGAGAAAAAGAGGAGGAGAGAAGGTAAAGACTCTTAAAAGCGTGTAACATTTGAGTTAACTCTGCTCACAGTGTTTGGGGTCTGTAATATTTAATTTCTTCAGTTTCATTGGTCCAATCTGTGAATACCTGATAGTTTGACCTGCCTAATTAGTGGAACATCAATATGGATAACTGGATATCAATTATAATATTCCTGCTTTTACATTATGAGTTACACTAAATTATAAAATCTTGACCTCTGATCCTTGGGTTTATTCTTTATACTCCCCTCTCTAACTCGTATATCGCTCCTGGATTGCACTTGATAACTATTTGTTGACTGAATGAATGAATCTCATTTGGAGGTTGACTGATTCTGTGGTTTAAGCAATATGGCATCCTAGAAAGAATTTGGAATTTGCACTCGGATATCCTAAGTTCGAATACCAACCCTACCACTTAATAACTGTTGCATTAAGCAAATTATTTTAGTTTGAGGCTTATTTCTTACTTCAAGCAAATGTCCCTGAGAGGGGAAAGGTAGTTACCTATTGCCATCTATTTCTTCTTTCTTGGCATCCATTTGTCTGCTAACCAGTATCCTGTTCTTCCTCAGGATAAGGTAATCTCTTCTGTAAAATGAGTCTGCTTTGTTTTCATGACCTTCGAGAAGGATGAAGCTTACATTTCAGTTACTAAACACTTTCCCCTTGCAAAGCTGTCATTTTTCCTACTCCGTCCCCACCAGCTCAGTGAAAAGGAAAACAATGGAAGTAAAACTTGCAAAAAAGAGTTTTGTAACATTACTCAAAGAATACTGGCTCTTGGAAGGGGAACAGGTAAACTGTGCCTAGTAAATTATGCCCACTGAATCATTTTCTGGCTAAAATTAATGGCTTTCAGGACAGAAGTCTGTGCTTATTGAAGAAGAAGAAGGAAAGGAGAAAGGAGGACGAGGAGGAGGAGGAGAAAAAGAAAAAGGACGTTTATTCTAGTGATACTCTTTTTAATGACACTGTAAAGTTTGGGGTCCATTTTTTAAGAATAATGCTTCAGAGTGTTTGAGGCAATGATTAAAATCATGGAGGCACTGATGATCGGAGTGGCTGAGAGATCTGTGAGAAGATAGAAGGGAAAGCCAAAATTGCTATTCTCCTCCCACATGAGATTTTTTAAAAACTGATCTTTGCTTATACAGGACATTTATTTTACAAGACTGTTCATCTCAAAGATGGAAACTTTCAGGGTGTTTGAGGCCCTGTGACTTCTATTTCCCCTGGTGGCCCACATTCAGTGACTGAACTGATTGGAAACCTGACCTGCTCTTCCTCAAATCTGTTAACCCCTCTGGACTGTAAATGAGAAATCCAGCTATGACAACCGTCCAACTGTGGGGATTAGCGACATGGAGCTGGCAAAGCCTCCTTTTGAACTCCTTGAAATTAACATGCAGATACGAGGTATTTGAAACTGACAGAAGTGCTATATTTTGCTCCAAGAATTTAAAGTTCTTCCTGAAGCCAGGGATGTGACACATTTCTTGTAGCAATCTGCTTGTGATTCAAATTCAGAGGTGTGAATTTCTTTCTGATTCCTAATACATAATATGCAGATGGGGGAGTATGAGGAGATGCTTAAGGAGTTTTTTTCTTCCCTCCATAAAGTTATATTTGTTTACTATTGATGCTTTGATCACATACTTGGTAAGATACTGTTTTACTGGAGAAGGATAAAAAAAAAATCCTTGTATGATATTTAACTTTGTAATTTCCGATGTAACACGATCGAGCACAGCTGAGCAATTAAGTGACCACATCGATCTAAAACTATAGCTTAAGTCAAAAAAAAAATCATTGCTGGTCACAAGCATTTATCCTCAGGCCTATGTTTTGGAAGAGGAAATGCTTTCAGCATTTGACATGCTTTGCTTTCTTCTTAACGCATTAAATGGATTGGGCTTAAAAACTTGTTTGATGTGCCTTAGCCCTCCCTTCCCTCTGACCCTCCCTCATTTGTTATATCTTGTCTCAGCCAACTAACTTCTAGGTCAGTAATGAACCAGGGCTGGCAATTCCTAACTTGGCACAAAGCTCCAAGGGTTGACAACATGATTGAGACCTGTGACTACTGCAGATATATCTTTAAAATGGATCATATATGTTGTGTAAATGGTATTTGATGGCCTTCACTGACTAAGAGGAACAATAGCACTTGGCTTGATGAAGAAATGGTAAATCTCCCCAGGAGTGTGACATTTTTGTGAGGCAGCCTGGAACCAGCTGCACATTAATCATGTCAAGCAAGTCACCATGTACCTTTTATCTTCTTTATGTTGCTCTTTTTCATTTAAGCTGATTTCTTTAATTACCCCTGCAAAAAGAGGGGAAAAACCTTTACCTCATTTAATTTAGTGTTTTATCTGACAATTTCCTGTAGACAGAAACCCTAACGTATTTGAGCCTAGGGAGATAAGCAGTGAAATTCCTCAGTGCTAAGAACAGAAAATGTTGCCACACAAGTTTCCTTGTTTTCAATAAGTAAAAGATTTTACACCAAATTTAACTTCAATAATAAAAATACAAAAGAACATCCAGATTTTTCATCTTTCTGGAAGGCTAGTTTTTTCATTGCTAAAGTAAATGGAAATTTCTGGCGTCACAGAAATGAATGAGGATAATGGGCAGCACCTCATTGTTTCTTTTTATTGAAGTTTAGTTGATTTACAATGTTGTCAGTTTCTGGTGCACAGCATAGTGAGTCAGTTATACATATGTATATTTCTTTTCACATTCTTTTTCATCATAGATTATTATAAGATATTGAATGGAGGTCCCTGTACTTTACAGTAGGTCCTTATTGTTTATCTATTTTATATAGAACAGTTCGTATCTGCTAACCCTCAACTCCTAATTGTCGTTGAATGCCATAAAACATGGAAGGCGTGTTAGGGAAATTTCCCCTCCTGTTGATTTCGGTGATGGTTCTGTTGGTAGAGGCGAGGAGGAGGCCTCCGTTGCCATTCGTGGTTGTATTTCAGTACCAGATAAAAAACTTGTTGAAAACTTTATACCTCAACTGGAGATAGAAGGCTTTTGAAATGCCTTAGCTATTAACCAATATCGTCATACAAAAGGCGAGCTTTAGTCTCTGAGTTAGAACTGCATAGAAAGATTCAAAGCAATTGTCACAATAATTTCTTCATGAAACAAAGTGTAGGAACCATGAGAAGATGATCACAGGCTTTGCTTAGTTGGAGAATGCACATTTCATGTGGATGGAAACGGTGCCCAGTGCGGCAGCAATGGGATCAGTGCAAGTCCAGTATGAGAGAGTGGATACACTTGTCGAGAAAAACTGGAGAAAAACATGCCTGATAGAGTCTATTTACAAGTAAAATATTTTACTTTAAGATAACTCTAAACCACTTAAATGCAGGGGTTTCTTTGAAGGCAAATGATCATGCTGTTTATTATCTGAGTTCTGGAATCTACCAGAGTCAATGAGGGAAAAAGAAACACTAGGATGATAGCCTCAGTGCTTTAGCAAAGGTTATTGATGTTAGAGAAGTATATTTGAGAGCTCTAGGCAAGCTTTGATACCAATCAATGTAAAATTTCAACAAAAGATCGATGTCTATGGTAATGTAAAATTCCATAACTTGTTCTTATTGGCAATTTGAATATGATGAATTTTTTCCTATTACTTGCCCTAAGAATTACCATAATTAAAATGTCAAGAATAGTTACTCAAGAATACCATTCCTTATATAAGGCTTTATTTTCCTTAAGATTTAAGAAGTTTTAACTCTGAGTCCTAAATGCTACAGGATGAGCCTGAAGCCTATACATTTTATGATCCTGTTAGCGACATGTAATGTAAGTAGAAAAAACTCAAAAAGCAAAATACAGGGGCATCTTTCTACTTGGTAGAGAAATATATTTGTTGCCATCTGTCATTAAATAGTTCTGATATGTGCTGGTATGACCCCCAGGGAGGGTCCCATTTTAGATGTTTGTTTAAGCTTTTGAAATTTTCTCCCGAGGAACTGGGATCACTATTTATGTTATTTTGGTAGGCTTGTAGAGATGTAATTACTTCTTCCATTCAAATGTAAAACATACGTATATTAGAAAAGACATTCCTTTTAAAGCTGTTATTTACAGAAGGTAACTCTGAAATCTAACTGTATTTGCTGTGAAGGGTTGGGCTTTTTTTTTACATTGTTTTTATTGAGTTATAGTCATTTTACGATGTTGTGTCAAATTCCAGTGTAGAGCACAATTTTTGTTATACAGAACATACATATATTCATTGTCACATTTTTTTTTTGCT